ATGTCCAAGATTACCTACAGAGTGCTGGAGGGGGGATGGGAATTGGCCTCGGTTACCATCCTCTTTTGTCCGGTCGTATTGGTCGAAAGGTTACAGGATCCTGTACATCAGATGTACTGCTTCTGGCAGTATGGGTTCGAGTCACTTAATTCTGGTGTGTGAGTTTTCAGTTGGATATATGCCTGGAGACCGTTCAGGCTTGTTCGCATTTGTGTTCCTCATGTGTGCCCCAAAGAATGAGGTGATTTGATAAAATACCATGCCCAAGATTACCAACAGAGTGCCGGCGGGGGGATGGGAATAAGCCTCAGCTACCATCCTCTTTTGTCCGGTCGTGTTGGTCGTGTGGTTAAGGGATCCTGTACATCAGATGCATTGCTTTTGGCAGTATGGGTTCGAGTCATTTCTGGGGTGTGAGTTTTCAGTTACATATATGCTTGGAGACCGTTCAGGCTTGTTTGCATGTATATATATATATATATATATATATATATATATATATATATATATATATATATATATATATATATATATATATATATATATATATATATATATATATATATATATATATATATATATATATATATATATATATATATATATATATATATATATATATATATATATATATATATATATATATATATATATATATATATATGTCGTACCTAGTAGCCAGAACGCACTTCTCAGCCTACTATGCAAGGCCCAATTTGCCTAATAAGCCAAGTTTTCATGAATTAATTGTTTTTCGACTACCTAACCTACCTAACCTAACCTAACCTAACTTTTTCGGCTACCTAACCAAACCTAACCTATAAAGATAGGTTAGGTTAGGTTAGGTAGGGTTGGTTAGGTTCGGTCATATATCTACGTTAATTTTAACTCCAATAAAAAAAATTGACCTCATACATAACGAAATGGGTAGCTTTATCATTTCATAAGAAAAAAATTAGAAAAAATATATTAATTCGGGAAAACTTGGCTTATAAGGCAAATCGGGCCTTGAATAGTAGGCCAAAAAGTGAGTTCTGGCTACTAGGTACGACATATATATATATATATATATATATATATATATATATATATATATATGTCGTACCTAGTAGCCAGAACGCACTTCTCAGCCTACTATACAAGGCCCGATTTGCCTAATAAGCCAAGTTTTCATGAATTAATTGTTTTTCGACTACCTAACCTACCTAACCTAACCTAACCTAACTTTTTCGGATACCTAACCAAACCTAACCTATAAAGATAGGTTAGGTTAGGTTAGGTAGGGTTGGTTAGGTTCGGTCATATATCTACGTTAATTTTAACTCCAATAAAAAAATATTGACCTCATACATAATGAAATGGGTAGCTTTATCATTTCATAAGAAAAAAAATAGAAAAAATATATTAATTCAGGAAAACCTGGCTTATTAGGCAAATCGGGCCTTGCATAGTAGGCCAAAAAGTGAGTTCTGGCTACTAGGTACGACATATATATATATATATATATATATATATGTCGTACCTAGTAGCCAGAACGCACTTCTCTGCCTACAATGCAAGGCCATATTTGCCTAATAAGCCAAGTTTTCATGAATTAATTGTTTTTCGACTACCTAACCTACCTAACCTAACCTAACCTAACTTTTTCGGCTACTTAACCTAACCTAACCTATAGAGATAGGTTAGGTTAGGTTAGGTAGGGTTGGTTAGGTTCGGTCATATATCTACGTTAATTTTAACTCCAATAAAAAAAATTGACCTCATACATAATGAAATGGGTAGCTTTATCATTTCATAAGAAAAAAATTAGAGAAAATATATTAATTCATGAAAACTTGGCTTATTAGGCAAATCGGGCCATGCATAGTAGGCAGAGAAGTTCGTTCTGGCTACTAGGTACGACATATATATATATATATATATATATATATATATATATATATATATATATATATATATATATATATATATACACACACACACACACACACACAAATACAAATATGGAAAAACCACATTTGAAGAAATGAAGAATGTTCAACGTGTTTTCGGCGCAATTCCCCATCATCAGAGTAATATAGAGTCCATCTTACACTTACATTGACTCTCTATCTTACTCTGATACAGGCAAATTGAGTTGAAAACGCGTTCAGCATTCTCCAAATGTGATTTTTCTGCATACCTGGACTTGGATGAGTGTTTCGTGATTGTTTTTGCAAACATACGTACATACATAATCAGACAGGATTTAGACTGTATATGTTGTGATTGCACCATTGTCACTAACTCACCTGCATCAAGGGTGCGTGTGTGTGAAACCGCATTTCCAGAGTACCCTCCACATAGTCATGTGCGGCCATTGTGTGGTAAATTACACCGAAGAATCACATTTCTTATCGCCTGGTGTGTTGACGAATCCCGAGAGAAGGATTGCCACCTAGTTAATGCAGTGCTTATGTGTTTGAGTGAGAGTTGAGCTGGCCAGTCATGTAAGATTAAAGATTCATTTCTATTCTTGTTACCTTGTGAATGATTCCTATGAATTGACTGCTTGGTTTAGTAAGATTTCTTTGTGACTGAAGTCTCCTAACCAAGGAAATGTTTGCCACTGACAGGTTTTTAGCCCAGTATGGTGGTTCCAAGTTAGCTTACCATGTAATTGGTGCATTCCAAATTTAGAATAGTTTGTGACCACCATATTGTATCATTTTATTTCTGTGTTAAGTAATTATTTCACCTTTGAATTGAATCCGAGAGATTCATGGATTGAGTTTCAATTTCATTGCCTCGGGTAGTATTTTGACATGGGACATGGCCAGTGGTCATGTTATGCAAGTGATTACATTGTGTCATGTGTTATTGTGCATTCTTCTTTCAGTGATTTATTAATATATATCAATGTTGAGTACTTTGATTGTAATTGACTTTCAGAAATATTACTGTTGTTCATATTTTTATCTGACATGTGTGTTATTGTATATAGTGACACCTCGGCTTACGAATGCCTCTCTTTACAAACTTTTCGGGTTACGAGTCCAATGTCTTCGAAAAATTCTAATCGGGTTACGAACTTTGCCTCGGGAAACGAGTTTGTTGATATGCGCATGGGCCAACCCAACACATGGTGGCACGGCAATCGCGCCTCAGTTTACCAGTGCCTCCCGCCTAGTGACTATCGCACCTAAATTCTTTGCAGAGATTTATTTTTTCAGATTTTTGGCTATTTGAACATAAAATTTGTTATTATACAACTCGCCATGGGTCCCAAGAAAGCCGGTGGTAAGGTTCAAGCCAAGAAAACACATGTGAGAATGACTATACAAGAAAGAGAAGAGATCATTCATAAACATGAAAATGGTAAAAGGGTTGTTGAACTAGCTAGGCAGTACAACAAATCTTCAGGGGAAGAGGAGGAGGCAGTAAAGAATGTCCCTTCCTCATTAAGAAAATGTTTGCAGTATGGGAAGAACTGCAAAGTTTTGCTGAAAAGAATCATCCAGATAAAGCTTTAGTAGGCCATTGCATTAGTCTTATTAATGACAATGTGATGTCTCACTACAGACAAGTGTTACAAAGGGAAAAAATCTTCAGTGGAACAATTTCTAGTGAGAAAATCAAACAGTGAGCCACAAGCATGTCCTAGTGATATGCAGGCAAAATGTGCCAGAGTGTACCCCAGAGAAGTCATCACTGCCTTTTGTTATAATGGAAGGGGACTTCCCTTCCAAACAGCAACACCTCTCCTCCTCACCATTTTCCTTACGCCAACAGGAGTCATCGGTAAATGTAAGTAATAACTTGTATATACTTTTGTACTTTAGATTTGGGTGAATTAGGTGTAAAACTTACTTTGAAGTTAATTTTTTGGGGAGTCTGGAACAGATTAATTAATTTTCCATTATTTCTTACGGGGAAATTTGCTATGGTTTACGAATTTTCGGGTTACGAGCCATCTCTGGGAACGGATTAAATTCATAAGCCGAGGTACCCCTCAGGGTTGTATACCAGTCAATATTCCTTGTTTTTGCCATTGCCAAAGAGTCATCACGAGCATTTGCTTATTCTGTTGCCATGCAAATGGGTAATAAGCATTCTGGCTCTGTGGGATCCATTCCTGCTAGGTGATGCTACTTGCTTAGCTTTTGTTGACAGACTCATTAAAGTAAAGGCACCATGTGTAATAGTGAAGTTTCCTTATTAAACTTGTATTAGGTTACGCGCAGGTTTCAATCAGTTCCTTTCCTACTCTCCATTCTATTTATTAAGCTACTAAGGAATTCTTGTCAACCATCTGAAGGTTAGTGCCATTTCACAGCCTAGCAATAATAAAAATTGTGACCCCTCTTAGTGTCTTACATCCTAGTCATTGGGGCAGGACGACAACCCCGGACGCAAGAGTACAGACATCATAGTGGAAGACATCATCACTTCGTGTCATTCTCTCAACCACTGGCATATCGATATCTTGTTAGTTCATTGAGTAACTCAAGTGTGGGTCTAATTGCAAGTGCAAGGTGCAACTGCAGGTCTCTGGGAGAATCAAAGTCATTACAGTGGAGGATGCCTAGACATAAAATGAGTGATTTGTGGAGGATACCGAGACAAACGAGGGATTGTGGAGGGTGCCGAGACAAAACGAGGGATTGCGGAGGGTGCCGAGACACGAGATGAGTGATTGTGGTCGATGCCAAAAGCCAAGGAGGATTGTGAAGGATACCAAGACAAGATGAGGGATTGAGAAGAATGCCGAGACACGAGATGAGAGTTTATAGAGGATGTCAAGACACGAGATGAGGGATTATAGAGGATGCCAAGACACGAGCCAAGGGATTGTGGAGGATGCCAACTTGAGAACCACCAATCTATCAAATTTTGGTATGAAAAATTAATTATGTATGAATTTGTGCTTTGTTATTATAGGCAAAACCTATAATAATATTATAGGTTATTATAGGTTTACTGTTCACAAAGCTACAAGAACCAAGAATAAAACACACTTCTCTAATTAATTTTGTATTTGCTTATCAAGAAAAAATATAATTTTAAATAAAACTTTTCATAAAAGTTTTTTTGGGAAATTTATAAAATTATTTTACAGAAACAAAAATTAAATAATTTCTTAGGTAATTATGATGTACAGTGCAGATAATACCTAATGTTATTGGCAAGAGAATATCTCGAGATGTTTGGGGTCATTTCCACAAGGAAATTTAAAGCTGCCAATACACTTGCAGAAAACAAAAAAGTCAAAACAAATTTTACATTAAAGAATAAGAACAACATACCATCCAAAAATTTGAAAAGTCTAACTGATTGCTAACAAAATTTAAAAAATTTAACTATTTGCTATAAATTATAGTAAATAAAAAACTATTTTCTATCAACTTGGAACAGTAATTCTTGCTGTTGCTGAAACAGGACATGATTCTTAAGTCATTTTCTGATACCTTTTAAAACAATATAAGTATTATTCAACTAAAAATGAAAAGAACATCAGCAAACTGTGTAATGCATGCAATATAAAATCCAAGTAGCAGGTAGTCTCACAGAAACTAAACAGTACACAACTGTCAATATCTTGACTTTTGTATTTATTATGTTAGCGAGGGTTAGTCTCATCATTACACATGTTCTACTGCCACCTGCTAGGGTGGCCCTTATTCCTGAAAGGATTATCATATTCAATAAACATTAAGAAATATGAAGAATATGACTATCTTAATATAAAACAGCTTTACATAACAGTAAAAACTTAAAATTTTAACAGATTAAAATCAATCATCTTGCATTAGATTCATTTTGTGCTTCTCAATTTCCGCTCTTAAATCAACCTCTTGGAGCCTGTCTCGTGGTGGTACATATACCGCCGGCCCTCTTGGTCCTGCTACTGGAGCACGAGCAGCAAACAGCCCTGATCTTGGTGAACTATGTTGGGATGAGTTGAGTGGGGATGAATATAAAGAAGCAACTCCAGGATGTACAGCAGATATAGGGGTGTAAGGGGCACTGGGTGTCAGTGGAGCAACCAAGTCCTGTCAATTATTAAGTCATTACAGAAAAAGAAATATGAAAACTTTGCAAACACATCAAGACATTGTAAAAATCAAACAATATTGTCAACAATAGCTTTGTCAAAAAACAAACATCGATTGTAACGAAATGTCCTTTTCTGGGGGGAGCCCCTTGACGCTTCCTGAAGTACTGTAATACACTGATGTGGTTGCCATCAACCAAGTTGCATCAGATGTGGACTACAGCCAGAAGCTGGCACCCTTCCCAGAAGCACAGGGAGCAGCAACATTTCCCAACCTCACCAGGGAAGGCATCCAGAAAGTTAGCAGGTCAAAACAAACCACTGTCGGGTTCAAAAGAAACTAAATTCTCAAAACCCAATTAATGAATTATGTAAACAAATGAGTGACATGAGTGACTCCCTTGTTGTGTGAATCATTTGCAGGTTCACTTTCTGTGAACATGCCAGCAGTCTGCAAAACTTCGCTGATTTTCTGGTGGCTTTTCCAGTAAGGTGGTAAATTGTCACTCCCTCCCTGCACTTCTGTGAGGGGTCCAGGTTCTGGCTCCGTTCCCAGGTAGGCCAACTAGAACTTCTGCAATCGATGTGACCTTTTAGTATGAAGCAATCTTGGCAAGATAACTACTGGGAGCCACTAGGGGAACTCCTCTCCAGAAAAAAAGTATTTATTCTTATAGAAAGAGAAAGGTGCTATATGACTAAATGTGCCAATGCAAAAAGTGGTAATGATGCATAAAAAATAAAGATATATTAACTGTACAGTACTACACAACATCAGTGGTATGGAAGAATTAATAAGTAGAAATTAGCAGAGTACAGCACAGATAAAGATGCAAGAGTTTATACAAGGTAACTGTAAACATGCATTTGCTCTGAAGATGCTAATAGAACATATAAAGGGGAATAAGAGAAACCAACAATAGTAAATGAAAAGAGCAATTAGAAAGAGGCTGAAATACATTATGGTACACATGAAAAATTTGTCTCATAATACAGAAATCCCTTTTATTTTATTTTGTTGAAAGGGAGTCATTCACTACACAGTATACATTCATAAATAAGCCTGGTGTGGCTGCCTGAAATTACTTAGCTGATTACAGTGTACTCAAACAAGGTACATAAAAATGTATTGAACACATCTAACCCATAAGAAATTAAAAAAATTACTATTAGCTTAGAACATATAGCTGCAAGACACTGAGAACACACCTAGAGCCAAGTAGGGACATTAATTTCAACGACAAAATATCTATGACAGAAAATAGGGAGAGAATGGGAAGAACTGGGGTGGGGGGGGGGGGGAAGAGAATGGGATGGGGTTACAGAATAGAGGGAAGAGAATGAGGGAACAGAGTGTGTGGGGAAAAGAGAGAATGGGATGGGGTTACAGAATAGAGGGAAGAGAATGAGGGAATGGAGAGAGTGGGGAAGAGAGAGAGAGGGAGAACATGGAACAGAAAGAAAATAAAAAAGAGGCAAAGAAAAAGTCAGATAAAAAACAAGGAAGAGAAAAAGAAGACAGAAAAAAGAAAGATACATAATCATGAAGACAGTAAAAATACACAGTACAAAAAACAAAGCAGAGCAAGGTAAGTAATATTCTACACACATGAGGCTCTTCCTGCTTACATTCAACAGTCACATAACAATCAAGGCCCATCACTATGAAATAAAGGTGTAGTCCCCACACTATGAAATAAAGGTGTAGTCCCGATGGTGCATACAAGCTGTTTATATTTCAAATATAAACAATCTTAAAAAGGAGATCATGCGCTGTGAGACATCGATGCAGTGTAAACAAAATACACAGATTAGGCTGCAAAAATATTATCCCATATCCCAGAATGCAAGACAAAATAGTAGTGAGAAGCGCACCAAACTGTTTTAACAACCCATAATAAAAGTGAACTGATGGCTGCCCATCATAAGAAGAGTATATCATGCCAAATGATTATTTACCTATGCTGCATTATACTCTCCTGCTTCGGGATGCAGTGGGATATGCTGTTCCTGAATGTGAGATGTTATCACATTACAAAACACTAGTAGCAAACCATTTTAGTAACATGTTAAGTATTATTCATCAATTTAAACTATACAATATTATAATACAAACAAAAAGAAAAGCAAATAGGCAAGTAACTAGTAGTAGCTACTTGCCTGTTTCCTTGGTAGCACAGTGAAACCTCGGCTTACAAATGCCCCTCTTTATGAACTTTTTGGGTTAAGAGCCCAATTTCTTCACAAAATCCAAATCGGGTTACGAACTTTGCCTCAGATAACAGAGTTTGTTGTTACGTGTATGGTCGACCTAGAGCGTGGTGGCACGGCGACCGTGCCTCAGTTTACTAGTGCGTCCCGCCTAGTGACAATTGCGCTTGAATTCTTTGTAAAGAATTTCAGTGTTTTTCAGATTTCTGGGTATTTGAACATAAAAGTTATTATTATATATATCTTTGCCATGGGTCCCAAGAAAACCAGTGATAAGGTTCAACCCAAGAAAACATGTGAGGATGAGGAAAATGGAGAAAAACAGACTTTGAGGGGTTTGAGCCTGAACCTGAAGTACCTATTGTTGAGGAAATTGTTTCTCTGGGCAGGAAATTAGGCTTGGAGTTGGATGGTGGTGATGTGGAGGAGTTGGTGGAGGTACACAGCAAAGAACTGACCACAGAAGAACTCCTAGCCCTTCACAATGAGCAGCAACAAGAGGCAGCTGAGGAAATGTCTTTAGGGGAGGAGGCAGTACATAATGTTCCTTCCTCAACAATTAGGAACTGGTGTAGACTGGGAAGAAATGCAAACTTACTGGGAAGAAATGCAAACTTTTGTTGAAACGACTCACCCAGAGCAAGCTGTACTGGGCCGTTGCATTAACTTTTTCATGACACTGTGATGCCTCACTACAGACGAGTGTTACAACAAAGGGAAAAACAATCCTCTATGGATAGATTTTTAGTGAGAAAATCAAGCAGTGAGCCACAAGCAGGTCCTAGTGGTATGCAGGCAAAACATAGGAGTGTGTGTACCCCAGAGAAGTCATCACTGACTGATGTAATAATGGAAGAGGGACTTCCCTTCCAAACATTAACACCTCTCCTCCTCACCGTCTTCTATATGCCAACAAGAGTCATCAATAAAGGCAAGCAATAACTTGTACATTCTTTAGTACTAAAGATTTGGGTGAATTAGGTATAAAATTTACTTTGAAGTTAATATTTTTGGGAATGTGGAACGGATTAATTCAATTTACATTATTTCTTTTGGGATTATATTTCGGGTTACGAACCGTCTCTGGGAATGGATTAAATTCGTAAGCTGAGGTACTGTACCACTGTAATTACCCGACTTATTAGTAGTTAGTTTCATTGTTAGAATGAAAATAGTGTTAATATAAGTTTGTCATGAAATAGGGGGTTGGAATAAAGGAATCTATGTTAAAATCTAATGTAGCAATCTTTACAATGGAAACATATTCTGGAACAAGATATAGTAAGTATCAAGAAATATTTAGTAAATATCAGTTAGTGTATGGTGAAAAGGACAGTTCATCTATACAGTAATGCCCCTTTCTAATCTCTCAAATTATTTGATTTCAATATTAATGTTCGACCGATTCCCAGTTTTATGTGGGGATGTGTTCCCATGCCTTGTGTGTTAAAGCTACAATTGAACAGAGGTTAAAGCTACCATTGAAATGTTGTATTTGGCTATAGATCTTCAAGGGAAAATTATGCTGTAGTTCAGTACCAAAATTCCATTACTTGTGTTCATAAAATTTATATAATGCACAAACTACAAAACATGAGATACTGTACTGTTGACATCTTGTACAGTATTTAACACCTGGGCTGCACAACTGATAACTGCTGACATTCCCATGTGCGTAAGAAAAAGCCCAGAATTGAATGTAATGAAACGCCATTTTCTGGGTGAATCCTGGAGGCTCCCTGGAGCTATCCAGGCTGAGTGGATATGTATTAACTTTCTGGCATCAGTCAATGCATGGAGTTCTTGCCTACCAGGGACCACGAGCCAGAACCTGGCCCCCTCTAGAAAGGCACAAGGAGCAATGGTCTATATAGAGACCCCGTTACGAATCAAAATTCCTCGTCCAAGCACGAAGCCGTGAAGACCACGCCATCTATGAGTCCGCTCCCGAAAATCCCACAACATGGACAACGCCATCTAGTGATGACGGGAGATGTGGCAATAAGTGTTGGATGCCTGTCCTAGTCGGCTCGTGACGTAGCCACTGCTGACCTCTAGTGAGGTGGCGCTTAGACAGTGAACGCCATCTATGGAGCAAAGAGGTGGACGTTTGGGTCTAAGCTAGTAAGTGATGTTTCCTAGTGATCCCATGTAGTGTCCCCAGTACTGATGACGTGTCTACTTTCAGAGTCAACCTAGGACGGTTGTGAGGTATGTTGAATCAGTCTACCCAAGGCAGCCAAGGTCTCTTCACCAGTCTGCTTTGCAGAAGCTGTGAGCCACCCCCGGACGAACTCTGCTGAGTGTGTGATTGCCTGCCTGAGGAGTGGCAGTAATGGGATTCGCCGTATCCGGGACTGGCTGGTGGAAGAGACCACCCACTGCGGTGCCGACCGAGGAGAGTGACCAGTGAGTCACACGAGGCTCCTGCCTAGGGCTCACAACCCTAGTACTAGTCGTGGAGTGGCCCAACAGCGAGGCTGACTAGTACCTGCCAGCTACAGGCTGGACTGTGGTTGTAGGCCATCACGACGAGGCACCCAGTGGGATTGTGATTTGGCTGGCCTGTGGCCAGGGTAGATTCATTGTGGGTTCTGGGCCACGGAAGAGGAAACCAGGAAAGGCTACCCAGAGTGAGCATCGCCAAGTGTCCAGTGTCTTCGGAGGAAGACAAATATGTATATACTGTGTAGGAATAATACTTGCGTTACGGAGCTCACCCCTTGAAAGCCTCTACTAACTTGGGGCCGGATACCCAAAAAACTATTACCATCAGAAAAGAACCCG